CATACGATCTGAAACTGAGTTGAAGTCGAGGGGACAAATAAATGGTAGGATTTGTGGCTGTTGCGGATATCTTAGAAATATTTAAAGCCGCTATGATTTGTGGAAGCAGACCTAATAAATCCGGTAAGTTTCGGTGCAGTAACACTTTGATTTTTGCTTTCAGAAAGGATGTAACAATCCTGAAAAAATAATATACGGTTGTGTGGGTTGACACGGAGGAGCAATCATTCGCTGGAAGGTCGTCATATGTACTGTCTGTGATATGTGCGTACATATTACTAGCTATGGCATTTACGATTGCAGAGACCTGCCTCAGAACGTGCAGTCCATGACCACACTTCTTACAAATCAAGGGGAAGCCCTGGAGGTTTTGGAGAATTTTACACATATCGTTACTTATTGGCTCTAAAGGAAGTATCTGGTGAATTCACTAAATTAACCTCGAGGGCGCCTATTATGTTAGCCAAATGGCATCACTTGTGGCGTTAGAAAAGTTATCGCGGGGTTTTATGGGTTAAGTGTATCAAGTTGCACCAGGGATGTGCTTTTAGGTGGATGTGAGACCTGTCCTATGCGGGTGCGTGATCTGACGTGTCTTCAGGATCTCAAACGTTGCTAGTACCGGATGGTTTCGGTGGGATAATTATAAAACAGCATGTGTTATGCATGCCAGATTGTCGTCTACCGAGACTAATGTTGTTCTCTGTGCCGCCTTCAGATGGCGCACGCTGCGAATTTACCTTGGTATAAGGGTCCCGTCAACTTCACTTAATGGTTTTGGGAAGAATTGGTTACACTCAACTGATAACTCATCAACACAAGCAAGACCATCCTTATGCACCTCACATACGGATGTCTCGTTTCTTCAGCGCACATCAGCGATTATCCTCACCCTCAATGTTGCGCGCTACCTTAACAGGTTAAACTCAAGAGGGCGCCCGCGACTTCAGTTAGTGTTGTGCCATGACTGGTTCATCAGCAAAGGGACTATCTTCCTTGGATACGGCACTGAATGCCCTCCATGACTCAGCGACTGCTGTCTATTTATTCGTTTGTATGATTTCGACACTCAGTGACTGGAGTATGCAAGAAAGAATACGATACGCCGGCTTTTTTTCATCGAATTTTAAATTTTAAATTTGCCTTCCTTGTGTTGGAGCACAAAAATTGTGAGACCCGCTAACATCTGAAAAGCAGGATTCTGCTTGCTAACATAGTTTCTTCCATTCGGATACTTTTGGCGAAATTTCGAACGCCTATCAGAATGAGATTTGAGCCCGTAGAATGAATGAAACGAAATAGTCTCATGGCTACATTTTTGCGAAGCTACGCATACTTTTCCCGACCTCACATTCATTTATATCTAGTGAGATGACGAAGGGAAATGTTTTTATAAATACTATTTTGCAATGTGAATCAATCACCGAAATTTCTCGTGCGCATATGAGTGTATTTGCTTTTTGAAGTGTAAATTATCCACGTTTCTTGGAAGCATGAAGCGCACAAGCTTTCCGATTACATTCGGCTCCTCCGCATCTGTTTTCTATGCACCTATATAGGAAACCCCGTACCGAATAATAGGCAGAATTCTCTAGGTATTCGCCCGTAACCAATATGCCATCGCTGCTAGGTTCGGTTAAGAAAGCCGACTTAAAACATCAAATGTGTGACTAAACCATCGAACGGTTTCTCATTGGTACGCAGCTGTCTGACGACGTTGAAATTTTTATCCCGGCGCTAACTTAGGTCCTTTCACACTACCCCGCTATCTAATATTCCTGTGCTACCCTCAGTTATTGCTCATACAGACCACACATCTGGTAACTGTTGTGTGGTTAACGGACTGATGATGCGTCCCAATGCTCAGCTACCTCCCAGCAGAATACTGGTCAATGTCGAATATAGTGAGGTCTTTCTTCCACCACTAGCTAAGTGAATCGAAATATGTAGGCTGTGGGATCTAATGATCAGGACAATTTGGAACGCTACGCGCGGCTCACACAGTCCTCTTGTCGAACTTGACACTCTGGTTCTAAACAAGCGAATTAAAAGCCATGTACAGCAATATTCATCAAATTTTAGAACTGCCCACTGTACCCATACTGTGCCATCAAACTGATCTAAACGGTTTGCCAAGAATGATTCGATCGACTCTTGCTTGTTTGACCATGGACCCTCACCCTGGCCAACCGATCGTATACACGGATGATGTAGATAAGCGACATGACACTTCTGTTTGTTCGTCTACGTTACCTGAGAGAAACACTCACACGAGCTATCATTATTGGTACAATACTGTTTTTGTAAATATTATTGTGGGTTTTTAGTAACAGTGCACTGTCGTAGAGTGATCGCTGCAGCCATACATACATGTCTATACTTGTTACGCTGGTTGCCCATATGGATATAGCGGTATACCACGCCAATCCGGGTACTTTAGGGATAGCTAAAACGGTGGCTGTACGTGGCGCGGCACGCAAACACAGCTAACACGCCACTGAAATCAGTGGTGCTGCGTCTACCCTATTGGTTACCGACGCACTTATATAACGATCTAAAGTAATACTTGTGCATTTCCCTGGACCGATAATACATGATTAATTTAGAATAGAAGACTCCAGCGGGTTGAACCATATACTTCGATCCAAATGTAAAAACATCCGGCGAAGACCGTTATTTACTTCAAACGAACTATATGAAATACACTTGAGCGTAGGTTTCAATGCTAAGCGATACCTCAGCTAAAAAATGGGACAACTCGGAATACTAGTCTGTTAAACCAAATTAAGGTTTCTTCATTTTCATACCACTCGATTGACCCACCGGAAGTAAGTGTAAATTTAACCATTCGGTATTGTTCATAGCTGCGACTGCGTGGTTTTCTTTCATAACGCCGCTTTGAGGTGCGACAAATTCGTCCCTGAATTTCGGCTTCTGACGATATAAGTAATCACAGTTTTGCTACAAGGCACTGGGAACAAGACGAATATCCGGCATTCTTAGCGCACAAATGTCATACGCTGTGGATCATAATGACCGAAGACATGCCGACTATTATAAATGCGATATTCAGATCCTGGCGACGCATTTTTTCGTTTTGTCTTTCATTTTACTTTCAAAGGCAATTGCATCTATTTTCTAGCTTACTGTGTTCCGGAGTGATTGGGCGGTTTTCTCGAGGGGCACGTGGTCGTTTTACGATATTTCGGTCTCTTGTTGTTTTACAACACTAACACAATAACTTATACAGATCATCAAGAAGGCAATTAAATGAGGTTATCAAACATTGCCTTATGTGGGCTGGGTTGGAGTGCTGTAATTCGCATAGGAAGCAGTTTGAATGGCACAGATTGAATCAGGAGATTTTTATCTTCAAACGTTCTATGAAAAACAAGGGAAGACTTAACGATCAGTGGTAGTTGACACTACTGACAAGAGTGTGTCCAGAGCAAATGCGGATAGACTCAAGCGCACAAGGCTGAGAAAGTGAAGAACATCTGGAAGTAGGCGTGGAAGCTAATAAGATCCGGACGAATTCATGACACTACCGAGCTAGCCTATTTTGCCCAAACGGTCTGGGTATTTCACTTTCCTTCGTTTAGTAGATCCTGTCAGTTCAAAGTTGAATGATGGTCGGAGAATGGGGGAAATAAGACTTTTGAAAAACGAAATGACAAAAGGCGTTTCACACGTACTCGGTTCACCTTCGAAGGGAATCCCCGCGTGAGCGAACGCCTTTACAATATACCATAGGGTTTTTCCCTCTGAAAGGGGTACTCTGTAACGTGTATCCCTTTTTTTGTGATTAAAGACTGGTCTTCCTTGAAAATGTTGTGCCCCATAGACTGAATGAGTTGTTTTGTAACGCCTCCTCGTGTGGTTGTTTACGTTAAGTTTACGCTATCTCTGAAATACGGTCTACTGTTTGTGCTCAGTTATTTCCATCAGTCATAATAGACCAGGAACACTTAGCTAATTTATTATCATTTTCAGAGTGAGGGAGTATGAAGTCCTTGCCAATAAGTCGTTCGTGAGTGATATTACTCATCTAGCAATAAACTACAACCAACGGTCAAGGTCATAGACTGACCGGATGTATGGGAGAAAGTAATTTGCGGAAAAACACAATATCAGCCACATATTCGTGCGGTGGTTCAAGGCATTTGGTGCGGAAAACCTAATTTTTCGGAGCAAAAAACAGGTCTCTGCTGATGACAAATGGGACTTTGCACATTTGCGACAAGTTGTTGGGGAAAACAACATGATAATCAAACATTCGAACCGTGGTTTAATGTTTTGTTGTCAAACTGCATAGGCGTCAAAACAGTTGAGAATGCACGATTATGTTTTGAATCGACTTGTAGTTCAAAATAATTTAATGGGAGTATTCCGCAGAGCTCCCTGGAGGCTTTCTGCAATTAGTCCTGTTTCACTCGTTAAGTTACAAACAAAGGTAGACTTTTTAAGCCTTCTGTTCCTCATGATAGCCTCTAACGTGGCTTAGTTACAAAAACGTTGTTGGAATCTCCATCTCGGTTGCAGTCAATATATGGACTATTGTGAGCTTTTCTCCCCGGTGCATTACACAAGCTCCACTGATTTGTCTAATGTTGAAGGCTGTTTTACATACCCTCACAAAAAAAAACGAAATCTCTTATGAGCAGACAGACGTAACGTGTGATTCACATTATATCGTCACAATTTTTCAATTAGTTTAGTTTCTACATACGTAGAAAACGCTCTGCGCTTTGTGTCTAGAAAGTCGAGAATATTTTCATAAAATACATGACGAGTGCGACAAAAGATCTGCTCATGGCCATCGGACTGCACATCGCTGTTTGCTCGTTTATTCATTAGATTGTTTGAAGAATCAGTTTACACAAACACTTTCCTTATATTTGCCGTAGTCCTTTGTTGTAATAGGATTGTTCGGGATATATGTACCTTTTGCCGGCTCGCCATGTCACTAACTGCTTGTTTGTCATGCGTTCTCTTCACAGGTGCCGGAGAATCCGGGAAAAGTACCATCGTCAAGCAAATGAAGTGAGTCGAACACAGGTTTCTGGTGACAGTACGATTCACTTATTTACTTACATGCGGTTTAAAATTTGAGACGAACCACTACTAGTGGCTATACGCAAGCCAGAGTTGCCAATATAGATATGCTGGAATAACGGCTGCAGCCGCACTCTCGAGATTAGTGCCCCGCAAGCTGTGGATAGGGAAATACACGTATTTACGAACTAATTTGGTTTCGCGAGAGACTCATCTGGAACCCAGCTGAACCTCGTTTGTGATGTTTCCAGGGAAGGATAGGGAAGTCTGTCGTGGAGGTGGCCGTTATTTTATTCGAATTCTGATTATTTTTACATAGAAGTGAGCATCAAGCTACGCAGAACATGCAGATTCACGGAACTTTCGATAAGTTGCACTGAAAATAGAGCTTTGAAAAAAAAAACTGAAATGACTTGTTCTGTGATACGAAACGCTGGACAAATTATGTACTGATGGAGTTTACTTAAACGGATGCGCAGGAATCCTGCGTCCATCTGAAACTGTGATATTCTGGAGCAAAATAACAAAAAAATGAATAGGCGTAATTTCAGTGGCGAAAATCCCCTTCAAAATGCACTTGACATTTTAGAATCAGCTACCTAAATTTGAATCACACGTAGTAGTGTGCCCCATTTACGAGATCAGAATATTAAGGTCGAATTTAGCTTTACCAGGGTTGTAAAAAGTACTAGAATATACAAGAATAGAAGAGAGGTAACGCAGAATTCTTCTACATTATCGTACAGGTTGGAATATTGCACCTCGTCAACTTGAGGCTGCTGAATCTGTCATAGAAACTCTAAGGTAGCGTCTCTCGTCTGTCCCTCCCTTTGTTCGGAAAAGTGCTCTGCTTTCAGTTCTGAAGCAGCAAAATACGTGTTTTCCATTTTCCTAGCAGCTGACATGTTTTACTATAAACTTCCTTGATTTGCGAGTGTCCCAACTTAAGCCTTCTAACCTGAAACTCTGAATCGCTAGGCACTGAGAGGCTGCCTTAACCGAAGAAGCATGAAGGAAGACGAAGTTCTGTCTCAGTACCGTTTTGCATAGCAGATGCTTTGTGAGCGGCACCACACTTCCAGCCAGCATATCGACCGTACTAAATAAAGAACCGTCAGTGGTTGTCAACCAATGGGCAACCGACGCGTAGCATTTAGAACTGACGTCTTGCAGACGGTTCCTTTTCGTAGAAAAGCAACACCGATACCTCCATAAATAATAAGGCAAGCGAATCACCATTTTTACGCTCCTGTGAAAACGAACAATACGGTTTTATTCCTATTCCGTGTCGTAACACTATTCCCTGTAGGTGCTACGCAACTCGTAGAATTTACATCCGTACTACTCTCGTTTGAAGAATACTCCTCCTGTCCTGACGAAATTATTCTGCATAGTCCAGATAAAAAACACGGAAGCACTGGACGCAAGTTTCTTTTTTATCATGACTTATCAGCGGCTCATATCGTTGACGGCGCCGAACGCACCGAAACGCTTATCAACGAACGGGTATAGTCTGATAGCAGCACACACCCGAAAGAAATAAATGAACTCAGACCACGTATTAAGCATATTCTAGAACAGCTACCCAAAAGACTGTTTCTACTGGTGCGTTTGTTCATGCCAGGTGTCTGGTATCGCTGACAACAATTGCGAGCGCTAAACCCATTTATATCGATCCTCATCGCCCTCAAGCTTTATCACTTTTCTCCGTGGCTTCCTTCCAGAAACGCTGATTTGGATCGTAGCAACAGTCTAGTTACAATGTGATATCGTAGTGTTCCCTCGTTCTGTAGTTTGCCTGAGGTTAACACACGAATGGTTCACTCTCAGTTGATCATGGTGACGCAGTTTAAAATGAACTGCTGAGAGTATAAAAAATCAGTGGCAACAAGGCAGGGGATATAGCGTTACATAGCTGGATGCTACATATTTCTCCCCCACATCACTTTCCGGCTGTTGCCAGAGGCTCGATTATTTAACTCCTGGAGGAGTTTCAATCATGTGCCTCCCTTTTTAAACAATATAGAAAGCCTTTATTGTCAAACTCGATGGATTTTAATAAATATTACTGAAGGAGTGAAACAATTGTATCCCATTTTATCAACTGTCACTGCCATGTCATCTTTGAAAAAAGTGATCTCGTAGAAAGGTCAAATTCTTTTAGTGTTTGGTTGGGTATGTTCCTGCACGTGCTCGATACATAGGGAAGAAGCTCTATTTACGTATTCGTGGAAAAAAATAAACAGCTGAATAATTATAGTTAGAAGACAAAATAGTGCAAGACAAAGTTTCGATTCTACACCTTCATGGACCAAATTCATATCATCCAAGCATGATCTTTATGGCTGATTTCTGGTGAATTTCGGTCGTTTTTATCACGTTGATCACATGAAATTCTTAAGCACTGATCGATGTGAATGATGAGACCGCATTTAACCTGTTAAATAGGTTGACATACATCATAAACATATTTTTGGAACTGGTTCGAATTCTTTGAAAATGTAGATACAGTTCGTGTACAGCTCTGTGCAAGTTGGACAGAAGATCGACGTCTAGTCCATTTGTTTGGGCCACAAATTGGACAAAACGGGTTCCAGGTTGCTGTCTAGTGTGTATCAGTCATCCTTATAATACTTCTATACCTTTGTACCAACAAATCTCGTCACTAGGTAGTAGATTCTTCAACACTATTTGTCGTCTCCGTTTTATTCGTACAGGATCATTCATGAAGGTGGATTCACACAGGAGGACAACAAGCAGTTCAAACCAGTCGTGTACAGTAACACTATCCAGTCGATGGTAGCCATACTGCGGGCAATGAATACGTTGGGAATTCAGTTTGGGGATGGGGAACAAGGGGTAAGTGGACATAATAGTTGCATAGTTTTTCGTAATGGAGTATCCTTTGGATGTATTAAGTACTGTTACTTGTTTTAAAACATTTTTGGCAGTAGCAAAAATGAACACTTACACTTTGAAGAACCCTGCGTTTTTCATTTTATGTTTAGGATGACTTTGAGCCACAGGGACCTTCTACATTGTTATCCCGCATCTCTGTCTAGCTGAGTAACTCTTCCACTCGATTCCGAACTCCACTGTTGATTTGGAATCTCAGTTGATCATTTAGCAGCACGCCACACAGGCTTCCCATTTCCCACTACACGCAGTTGACCTGACGTTATGAGGCTGATTGAACTTATTATTTCCGCCGTAACTTGCTCTAAACAGAACTCTGAGTGGCGGTGAATTTTTCACTTTTAACCGCATTCGCCCATTCTGTCTGCATTTTTATTGGGACTACCATATCAAGACACAGCTGAAAGCGTTCACGGAAAATTCCGGTTATTAGTCAGACCTTGGACGAACAGCCACCCAATTTTTATTCCCATTCATGTGAAGTCGTTTGACCAAGACAATGGTCTAAATGAACGATGCTTATCATCACTGGGGAATATACCCCAATATGTGGTCATAGTGAATTGGGGTCAACGTGGACTGTCTCCAAGTTTTCTTTCTATTAGAAAGTCAACATGAGTTTCCAGCAACCTTGTGAGTAGTTTCCTCCACGATAGAAGTATATTTCGTCAGACTGGAAAGCAAACTGCAGTCAGTTGAACAACATCATGGGGACGGTATACCTCCATAGTTTCACTGTCATCTCATCTGACGAAACTGCTACGTGAGGAACCAGTTTGGTCCTTATTAGGCGACCGCTAACGGGTGGTGCGTGTGGTTTGGGCCTATCCCAGTCGTTGGTCGACGTGTCCAGGGTATCATAATGCTTCCCTCCTATCTTGATCTCTTGTGGCACTCGTTCAAGCTTATCAACAAACTACTCCAAATGTGCGTTCGACTGATGGTTGTATGCTGGACTGCAGTTATGGTCAATAGTGGAGGTACACAAGAATCCTGAAATTGTACTGAAGCGACCCGAGAATCATTATCATTGTCGAGTGACTTCCGGATTAAAACTGATAAAATTAACTCAAGCGAGAACTGTCATTGTGATTAAAGTTGTGTATAAGGCAATATTTCGAACTCTTGATTTGGTAACAGCATCTACGACAGTTTGTTGCGCCAAAAGGCCCCGCAGAGTTGAGATATACTTGGATTCATGAGCTTTTTGATCTTTACGAAGGCTTTAGTTCAGATTTGGCAGGAAGCTTTGACGCCATGGAGAAATGTTGGTTCATGAAGCACTACTGATCGATGTCCACATTCCAAAATCCTAGTCTTTACGGGATTATCACAAAATCTTTTGACGTCATACGTTGTAGTGGTTGACAGGCGCTTAAACGCTTGCTCAAATTCCACACAAGGAATACTGATGAAAATCCGACCCCTTTTGCATTCAGCTCTATCTCAAGTACTATTCGCCTACTGCATTGTTTGCCTGTTTACACGCTCCGCCGACCAGACGTATCATATAACGTTATTCTTTGACCATTTGCGTTGCCCGATGAGCGGCGATTCCTACCCGTTGCGTAATATAGTCGTCATGACCATACGGAGTACCTTCTGCCTATCTCCTTATTCAATTACTAACGGATATTCCATTTCTGATTTATTGCGACTACACCCCAAAGTATGTAGGCTGCACGACTTTACTGAGAGGTCGGAAAAACGGATCTTCTGAAATTTGTTTATTGATTTTCAAGGCCGTATCAAGGCAGCTTTTGTCAACAACCGACACCTATGGCATCGACGTGACGTCGGTTTATCTGTCGAACGCAGAGTTTATACTGCGGCAGTGCGATCCATACTGCTTTATGGGTTAGGGAGATCGCTTCTACGCGCACGGGACATACGGAAGTTGTCAGTGTTTGACCACGGGTGTTTCCGGAACATTGGTTTGGTCTAGTGGGAACATCGGAGTAGCAGTGCCGAAGTACGCCAGATGGTTTTGGAATGAAGGATCTCTCCTGCGATAGACGAATCACTCACAGGCTACGCTGCTTTGGAGATGTACTCCGTATGCCAGAAGACCGTGTGCCTCGCAAAGTTCTTTCCGCCCAGCCCCGTACTGAGTGGAAACAATGATCGTTGGTTTACTTGCGTTAGTACTATGACAAGACAGGACAAACAGGTCCTGAAACTAGTTTGACATCTTTTCCTTGGTTGTTCGGTCCTAATCTTATCAAGTGAGTCTAGCTTCATTCCTTTCACGAGCCCCACACATTAGCAAACATAATAATGCAAGAGTTGTCATAATATAGATAGGTAATGAGCAACAGTCAAGCAGTAAATTGCTCGCATTTGAAAACGGACTAAAATGTACATGTTCATTAAATCGACACAACAGTCGAAATTAGATTGTTTTAGTTGTGCTAACTGTTGCTACGTGCATTACGATGGGAAAAGCTTGGTGTTATAAACAGTCCAGATGCTGTTACCATTCATTCTTTGTCAAACAGGCAGAATGCGGGCGGTCGTAGGAGAAATGTGGACGACCCTGATTAACAGATATACCACAGTTATGCTGCATCTGTAACGTTTGTTTGAAAGTTGTCCACCTAGAATGAAATTGGGATATAAAACTGTTTTCCCTGAGCTGAATGCAATCAATTGCGTGTGGTCGCAATAACTAGTCCATGTGGATTGTTTCACACTTAATTTTTTGGCGTAAACTTTACCTAGCGTTCAATTAACCCGGTGACGAATTGACGATAAATTGACCCGAGCTAAACTGGTCTCCAAAGGTGTAACTGTATTTTACGTCTTTATTAGCGTGAGTAGCGCACAGTCTAGTAAGTCGAGGGCTGATAGCTAATGTCATGTTGTCCGTCTAGGAAAAAAACCAGCTGTACCAAATATAGTTTCACTGAACGACGCAGGCTCTACGATGAACCAACCACTACAAATCGAACATCCTCGATTCCAGAAATCACAAGCCTGACGTTTTCAGTCGTCCGAGCAAGCCAACTTTCTCTTAACTGCCTGTCCATCCACTGGAGGTGTGCAAATGGCTGCGCGTGAGTGCGTGTCCATCCCCAAGAACAGACGCACGTACGCGTCTGTTGCGAAAGCACACGGTCTGTCGTAACAAAGACTGGCATTATGGGCTTTACAGCGCATTTTGTCCTATAATGGGCGTGGTCAGAGAGGCATTCACTCACTGTATGTAACACACGCACATGGGGCTTTATGACGGCCATCGTGCGGTATGCTTAGGGAAACGTGGTCAGAATTTATCGATCGCCGACCTGAAGCGATGTCATGAGGAAAAGCAGTGGTGAAAACTGCTCCCGTCCTGTTAGACTTAAATGCAGTTTGGACGGGTTTGCCTACGGACAACACGTGAAGACAATGATTCGCATATATTCTGTCTGAGAGTAGCAACTGGCTAAGTCGATTAAAGTTTCGCTAATGGACTTTCTCGGCCGACCAGTTAGGTATGCAAATACGGTAGTTATAGGAGTGATTTTGCACGGTTTTGTCGCACATTTGCCATTCAACATCAGTTGACATACCGTGTTTAGATCGTTGGACAAATTTTGGGATAGCAGACTCGGGCTGACTATTACGAAACAGCCCCTTATAGTTTCGTCAGACAGAGACTTTATTTTTCAGAAAAAAGCCATTCATTATGGATCTGATGAATATCGTCTAACGGCACAAATACCTGTCAGTAAGATTCTTTATTCTGTCACTAGCAACACAGTTTCTGCCAAGTTTTCCTGTACCACATCACTGATTAGTTGAGACATTGTCTAGACCCCTTGTAGGTACTGCAATAGGCGGTCGTAGCTGACGTAGGTAGGAAGCATGTGTAGTCACGATTAGCCATCCATATCGACAAACAAGCAGCTGAAAGAAAGATACTTTCAAGTTGCACGGGCTTCTAGTTTTAAAGATGCTACACTAAGCTCTAATTTACACATTCTGAATTTAAAAAGAAATATTTCAGCGAACCATGCTGAGAAACTCATGGTGGACGGTCACCTGTCTCTGGATTGGTTCATCACATTCAATGAAGCCGATGTACAACATAGTTCGGTGAGCACACCCTATAGGTCTATGTTGAGCCGCATATATCACCGTCGGAAAACCATGTACCCGGTGAAAAACTCGAAGGAAAACGGTCAGTGGGTGAATAGGAGAGAGCAATTTTGAAGCCACTATCATGCTCAACTGGGGTCCTGTAACTGTCAGTTCAAGTGGGTACAACTGAACGACTGAGCCTCACACTGCATACACAAAAGTCTCATGGAGTTGGTCTCTTGGTAAACAAATATGGTTGGCCAGTGTTAGCCATCATTCAGCTGGGTCTGTACAACGATGGTCACAGAGAGCCAACCCTAACACCGTTGTAGGCATAGTACTCTAGCATTTTCGGCTTGACACTGCATCTTTTGCGGATGGATACATGAACCACGCAAGTAGGGTACAACAGGATTCATTAAATTCTAATTCAGAACCATACAATAAAATACAATACAACATGTATAAAGCAGATTTGGCATCGCAATAAAAGCGTTTAGCGTAACAAGCAAACCAAAGAGTCGCTTACGTCCTACAGGTTCAAGTGATGGATACAGCATATACGGAAGTTTCGTGGTGCCCCCCCCCCACGTGAGATGTGCAGTAGGCACGCGTATACGACTAGCTGGTACAAGCCAGTATTCCGTCTCGTCCACACAACGGTCACAGAAAGTCATCTTTAGCATCGTTGTAAACCTAAGACCCCACAATATCCATGACCTTAGAGCAGGATTGTTGACAGAGGAGTACAGCCTTACAATTCACTTCGGATAGAATGAAAGTTTCGTTACCGACAAGGCGGATCCGGAGTGTGTTTGGTCGGCACTCTTAGCCCTAATTCAGGTTGGCTCCCTGCACGCAGTATCGATTATTGAAAGTCATTTCTAATACCATCACAAACGTAAAACACCAAATCAATAAGCGTGCTGTTAAGTTCATAGACGACCATTACTGAAAGCCACTTCTAGCGCTGTTACAGGTTCAGCCATCTAGTAAACTCAAAAGGCCTAAGCGCATCTGATACATATACCCCACCCACCGACGTTGATGAGTTTTTATGTGGACGAAATCGGTCAGTGGTTGAAGCGCGAATTTATTGGCCGGAACGTCCGTGGTTCCAACCGACCTATGCATCTCAAACTTTACTGTCTAGGTTATTAGTTTGGTTCTGCAGTATCCGGAACTTTTGTGCTTGGACGCGATATGGCTTATCAACGTTGTTCATCATACGGAACACAATGTCTAATATAGCTAGATAGTCGAGACAAGACGGACAAAAAAGAAAATCCCAAAGTGATAAGACGGCCAACTACATCAGTGGTGAATCACACGGTTCTCCCATAGGCTTGGACACTATAAATGTAATGCATCTGATAGTATCTTCAGTAAACATTTGAGTTTATTAAATGACAATACCCTAGGTAGGGTGCATCAAAAGCTAGTGTTTGAATAACGGCGAACACAAAAGCACTACTCGGAAACCTAAACCAAGGACCTGCAGTTGTGAAATGCATCAAGCATCAAGATTTTGGCGGTGATACTCACCGGGACGACAGTGAGAGCTACCTGTTACCCGTTCGGGGTCGTACATACGTTAAAGTCCTATGTTGACAGGCCATCAGAATGTTCTGTACATTTAAAAATGTCGAGGTTGACAGTGTAGCAATGCTCACGCATGTTTCATTCGTCGAGAGATCAGCAAGATCGACCTGGGATTTGAAAACCCTTACTGCTCGCTTTGTCGGCTTTCTGTTTGGTGTGTGCATTAAGGTGTACACTTTTTCGAACAAGATTTGAGTCCATTTTTAGTTTGTGACTTCGCGTTATCTGTTCATCGCAGCCGTTTCCTTCCGCTCAGTCTACACTTATCAAAAAGCATCCGAAACGCTCTTTTCAACCTATTTTATACTAGTATTCGATGAGAAATGTAGCATGCACAACTTGCCGTCGTAAACCCTGAATGTTTATTTAGGATACCGATCAGATAGATTCTGTACCCTAGTAACTTCAACTGCGCTCCAAGACGGTTTGCATTAGACATGACAGCCCTTCTCTCTCGAATGAACATATCGCAAGTGGATGATCAATAAATAACGTATCGCACACTTTCCGCACTGAGGTAGTAACTTTTCATTTATATCTGGTTCCTCCAAACAGCTTTTGTGAGTTTGCGTCATATTCACGGATGACGCGCTACTATGTACCAATTTAATTATAAAGGCAATCTGATTAGATAAACCATCAGCGAAATACACTTACTTGCAAACTAATTTGGCTTTGCGAGAAACTCACCTGGAACCCAGCTGAATCTCTCGTTGGTGATGTTTCCAGTCGACCACCATCCTTGGAAAAGTTGCCTAGTCGCATCGCCAAAGGTACTAAAACTTAAGGATATTGTGCTGGGGATGCAGCCACGTGAACGGACCATCCCAAATTGGACGGTCGGCTGGCTTCAGACGAGTCGAACTTTCTCAAGGAAAGTAACAGCAACAAGAATATCTAAGGAGGAATGCGATATTTGAGTAGCTTATAGTTCTAGGGTTCTGTCGACAAAGGCATCCAGACAGACTTTCTCACTGCAACCCACCAGGTGGTGAACCTTGAGAAATGAACGAATATGCATGTATCGCAATTCGACATTTTAGTGTACGACAGGACAAATACCACACATAATCGGAATACGGTATCCAGCTAACGGAAGATAACACGAACGCATCAATACTAATACATGTGGGAACTCCCTCCATATTTAACCCTGCTTGTCGTTTGACCTACTATAACAGACCTACTATAACAACTACTACGAACATACAAGAGTAGCTCAAATTTTGGTGAACAAATTGCAACAATTTTATAATCCCCATCAACCTGAAGGGTCAGGAGACTGTTTGTCAGACTTGTATCCATTGACCAACATGTTAGGAGATACTCTATGGATGCCGAACAGGTATCCTTCAGTACAGCTCAATGGGTTACAAAGGCATGCAAATGGTCGTAGCATCATAAGGTCCGGTATCTTCGCAACAGCTTACACTAGATAACGTGTACTTACCTAAGAGGACTTGAAGAACATCTAGTTCTAATAATCATATGCTCGAATTGATTATATCAGAGTAGTATGCACACCATTTCATGATGTACCGCCTAGCTGAAATTTCCTTTTAGAAGTCAGATTCTATTCGCTTAAGCGATACACTGATAGGCGTAATTTGGTCACCTGAACTGCTGAAACTCTAGCTGGCTCCGCTTAAGGACTGTGCGTGAATGAACCGAATATCCCAGATACCACAACGCTGCTGTTCCGAGAAGTTCATTTCATACTGACTGGAACGCATCAACTTGCGTTTAGGTTATTTCGGTAGACGTAATAGCCCCATTTCCCCAGCTGCGTTAGAAAGGAGGACCAAGCGGGGTTGCTTTCACGCCGTACAGTGCAGACGGTCACATTCTTTTTGCAGCATATCCCCTAAGTAAACTTGGATAGCGTGATTTTCGAGCTCATGGAGGCTAGTCTTGGGACGATCCATATGACAATCCTGTATTTTGGATGCATACGAGCTCCGGTTTGACAACTTAACTCTGTCCCTTCAGTGAAGTAACCAAGTCGAATCCTCTGCTAGATAACATCTCTAACCTCACTACAATGAGGTAACCCATTCTCACTTATATTCTTTTTTTGTGCGAAATTTGCGTACGGATTTGGTGCAATGTGCTTAACTCCAAGACTGCGTGGGTGGTCGTTCTGGAAAGTGAATCAGACGCATTAATTTAGCAACCATCCATAAGTTAAGCCTAAAGGGTGGAATATTTGGTTCGGAACAGCTGTTGTTTCATCCGGTGTAGTCGGGATGTTTGTCTGATTGGTCTCAATCTTTTCGAAGGACTTGATAAATGCCAAGCTGTGGACCGACGTGCAGCTGGACTATTTCCTCAAAGGTGGCTTTGTAACCAAATGCTACGATTTAAGCATCCTCTCGAGAAAGGCACCTCATACCCTGGAAAGGCTGCCATGGTAGAAATAGGTTAATCAAAGTAAAACACCCGCCCCACTGAGCAGTGGTCTTACAAAGAGTATTTTTGACTAACTTAAACGGTTTGGCAAAATACAGTCATTTACAGAGCAAGTTGGTGTTGGCAGGAGACTTATCCGGATCGCAGTTGAACCTCTGGCTTACGAATGCGCTGCAGGGGCGCCGTTTCATGTTTTACTTGGAGCCATATTTGAGATGTCACAGTAGATATCCTTAAAACAAACGTACTTTACAAATAAGCAACTTACGCCACCTGTGTAAAGATTAGTGTTCAACGAAAGTGGAAGAAGAAAACGTTGACTGTCCAATAATTTTGCCCGAGGACTTGTAGGATGTAATGTAAACAAGGCAATTTTTTATTTGATCTACTTTAATTTACTAGCATGTTGTGCTAGTAAGTCCTCCGTACCATCGTAATATATATATATATATATATA